TTTGTAAATTAGAAGAAATACGATTCAGAGAAGTCAAGGCACATGGAAACCCAATAGTACATGTCTGCAGAGCCAAGCCGATCCACAACCGTCCAACTGTCCAGCAGGGCGCAAAGAGGGTTATGGATCTTTCACGGCTGTGGATTTGCTTGGCTCTCTAGCTCTGCAGACCCCCCCCTACTCTGGGAACCACCCTTTCCCACATTATCCAAGTTAGACATCGTTGTTGATGTAAAACTATGAGATTGTGGTGCACCGAGTGTTAAAGAGGAGTCTGCAGATACTCCAACACTATCCGATCATTTCAACACTACTGTCCATGCTGACAGAGTTTCCACACCCATGCTCTGAGGTAAGATGTTGTTTGTTTTTTCACCTAACAGCAGCGTGAATGCTGGTGTCAGCTGACAGATAACAGTCTATCCAATACTCTGTTCTAAGCATTATCAGCAGGAACTCTCTTTTTCAAATCCAGCACATTTCAAGGCAATCCAACTGGAGACTAATTTGCCTCTTAACTGCAAATCCTAACTCTAAACTTTTTCCTGGCCTGACATGTCACAGGCAATAATATTACAATACTGTAATCACAAAGTTTGTTGCTAAAGGTTATTTTGCTTTCCTAAGTCATAATGAAGCACCACTGTAAACTTTAGTCTTTTACATGACTACTTAGAACTTTCTCAGTATGGGGTAAATTTTGTAATTGTTATATTTTGGGGAATTTTCGTCATTATTAGATAAAAACTGAAGAGAGACAGGAAGTGTGGGGAGAAGAGAGCAAAGGAGGACATACAGCGAAGGGACATGACTGGGAGTCAAGCCAGCGATTGATGGGACAGGGACTACAGCCCCCACGCATTTGCACTCAAACTGCCTCACCAACCATGACTCCACATCTCTAAATGTGGATTTAGCTCTGGTCCTCAGAGACTCCAAGGTGGTTACAGCCTTAGTTATAAAGACACCTGGAAACAAAGTGCTAACTGAAACCAGACCATACTGTATCAACACAACTTCATATATTAAAGTACATATATGCACTCTGCAAATAAACACACACAGCTAACATGGCTCACTGCTGCTAGTTTAAAACAACGGATTAAAATCAAAATCAACACCAGCAGAAAACAAAACAAAAAAATTGGAAATAAGAAAAAATTCAATGCTTTAACTGCAGATGTCCTGGAATTCTTCCTCTTCATCAAACAGCTTAAAGGGATATATACCGGCGTAAAATTAATTTAGGGTCAAACACACCATAACACTGAGTTAGACACCCCCTTGAGAGATGAATGTTGCCGACCGCTTGCTTCTCTAGTTATACCAACTTTAGTAACGACCGCACGATAGCAATACACAGCGGTCTCAGGAGCCATACACACACCTCAACCAAAACGCCACTCTATAGCCACAAATAATACTCAGAACAGCACCTAACTTCATCAACAGTACATATAGGGTTCAAGTCATAGTACTATCCACCAAACATCTTTTTAACTTTGCCTAATTTCTTTAGCAAAGAGACAAAACACAACTCACCATTTCCCTTCCAGCAGCCGCTTGTTTGTAGCGAGACCTCAGGCCACTGGGGTGGGGGCTCAATGAAGAACATTTATGATCATTTCTTCATGGAAATGCAAACAGACCGAGACGCTAAGGCAGAAGAACTACGGTGTCTGCAGTTTCTAACTTGGTTTTACGGTGTGTTTGACCCTAAATTAATTTTACGCTGGAATATCCCTTTAATTAACATCTTTTTAGTATTTTTACCGGTATTTCTTCCCATGTGGGTTGCCTCTTAAGGTAGTGAAATCTAAAACCCTAAATTTACCCAAAGAAATCACAGCTCTGAACTAACACACCTAGATAGTGTTGTAGAGAGCATCAATGCGTTGCTTGGAAGTCGGATAGTAAACAAAACCTTGACATGTGAGGAAAGCACATAAAAAACATAAAAATTCTCTATTGTACAAAAAACTAGATAAATAAATAAATAAATAAAATCTGTAAAAGTGACAGTTTTCATCATCTGTGTACATCCTGTTAGCCTCCTGCTCACACTTCTTGCTGACTGTTTCAATACCTTGTAGGTCAACCAGAAGATGACCCAGTAGCGTAGAGCTGAAAGGGGGCATGTCCCCACCTAATGTAGCGTAGGCCGGCTTGCTTCTGTCAGTAATACAAATCTTGCTCAGTGCTTGTAAACTGGGACAAGGACAGTATCCTGTTCAATCGTCTATCAAGCTGTGACTGTAGCTCAGCTTAACTGTGCATGTTAACGTACTTCGTGTGTTAAAAATGTGGGTGCAACAAATTCTTCTGCCGGTGAAATCAACCAAGAAAGCTGCCGCACCAAAAAGAAAGTTAGCTAGATTTGTCCAGTGGGGCTTGGTCCTCTTCTGTGTATCAAATTTCCATTGGGAACAGTTGAATGTCCTTAGTACACATAATGCCTCTGTGGTAGATCTCCAAGAAGCTTTTTTAGGAGGCTCCAACTGTTTGTCTTAATACAGCCTCATACTGGAGATTTGGGTGTGAGGGAACAGATAGTCTGAATTAGAGTGGTCACAACGCAGAGACCCAGTTTGGACAGGAATTTTCTTTGAATAATAATGTAAAGCCACCTTTTGATCCCATAATCCTACTCTTAGACTGGTTCAAACTGGAGTCTTTGGAGCTTATCATTTTGAGATTATGAAACTTTTTAGAGGGTCAAAATAAAGTTTCCTCTCCCTACTGTGCTCTGCTGGGAAAAAAATGACATTTCTCCGTTGGTGACTTTTCTGTGTGAAATCTAAAAAGTTGGAGAACTTCAGGATGGGAAAGAAAGAGCAAAGGCGTATTGATTTGAGGGCTGAGCACTCATGGGACACAAAGGTGCAAAGAGCCTCGGAGTGCATGGTGGATCTCTCTCTCTCTCTCCTCGGCTCTCACACAAAGATGTGGCGTGCACAAAGTCTTGCGGGGACGCCGGCAGCTACAACCTGATAAGTGCATCATACACGCACAATCCCATGTCAGAAGCAGGTTACACACACGCATGGATGGCTGAGAATGGGCTCTCGTGTTGGCTTATTAAATAAGTGGAGGTCCTATGTGGTGAAATGGAGCAGTGAGGGGGAGTTATATGCACTGCCTCCTCTGCGGCGTTGGTGGAGCGCCAGCATCACCATAAGCAGTCAGTCAATAGGCTGACTCAACAGTGTGTGAAATTAAGAGGGAAATAGAAGTAGACAGACATTAAGCCGCTCTCCCACTTCCCTTCAGACGCCAGACAGCGGCTAATGCAACCCCCCCAGAGCCCCCACATGCTGCTATCACACACCAGCAGCACCAAAGCTCCACTCCTTGTCATCTGCTTTTCAAAAAAAATTAAATAAATAAAAAAACCACAACAAAACACAGCAAAGCCACGCTGACCTCTTTTAAAAGCAGTCATGTAAATACGTTTTCTGACTGTGTGTTCGTTTTTATCAAACCTGCAAAGACAAAAAAAAAGGGGGTGGGTGGGTAAACATCTTTACATGCAGACACATGGCAAAGCGCTTCGGTCTGCTGCCTGCAAAATGAGCTTTTGTCTGCTGTTTATTCTCTATATATGGAAATAGTGGAGACAAACAATTACAGTTTGTGCCAATTTCTGACACTTAAAGTACAGAGCAAAAGCACAAAAAAAAGCAGGGAAATATCAAAGTAATACATCGCATTACCATTTAAACTCATAGGGCTGGAATGTCTTTCCAATAAAACCAGACATCTATTGTCAGATATCTTCTGGGAAGATAACTCCCAGTGATTTTTCTGTTTTTTTCTCCAGCTCCTTGATATGTTAATTTGGGTCTTGTTTTTGAGTTAGAAACAAAATCCTTTCTGCTGAGAGCCTCATTTTGTCAAAGCAGGGAGGAGTCACATTTCCATACCAAATGTCTGGATTAGAATGAAACTACTATTAAGGAAATTCTGAACACTGGCCTAATGATAAAAAAGGCAGTTGCCAAGGTAATATGCAAAACAGTCGCATTGACTCCCGAGTTGAACTATGAGAACCACCTTCAAAATGGAGGCTGGAGAGCCGGGCTGGATCCTGCAGGCTGGGAATGAGCTGAGAAATGTCTCTTTGCTTAATAACATGAATTATTAAAGAGACAAACAAAAAATACCCAGAAGATTTCCACAAACAAAACACACCGATCAAAAACACAAATATATATTTTGACCTTTCTATGAAGGAGTGATTATGCATGGTTGTATTGATGCTTCTATTCATACTGATGGTCCAAAACATAGACTGTATATAGAGTTGACGTCTTCTGCCTCCTTGCTGGGTGAAGCCACCATGAAAACAGCACCCCCTGGTGACAGGCTGCAGTATAGGTCATAAACTCTGCCTTGTCCAGCAAAATAAATGGAGCTGTGGGCAAACTTCTCTTTGCTTTTTTGCATTTTTCTTTACTTTTTTCATTTATCATCACATTATTTTTCCTTGTTAATAAGTTTTGTCTAATTTGTATGTTAGGCATATGTTGGTTGGGGTCTTGTGTGGGAGTAGGGTGAGCAAGATGTCTGTATTTGTTATATGTTACTTATGTTAATGTATTGTAATGTGTCCTGAGTTCTATGTATGTTTGTTTAGGGACCCCCTTGAAAATTAGATGCTACATGTCAAGGGGCAATCCTTTAATAAACAAAAATGAATAACACATATAAAATTTTCTCTCTCCTGGTTATGTTGTGGACATGTAATTATTGTAAGACTGGTTTGTGATCAAGTCCTCTTTTTTCTTTACAGTTCCATTATTAAAAGTTATTTGGGGTTCATGTTTTCTATGATGACACTTGATACAGCCAATAAGACGTTTGAGTAGGACGTCTGGGGGGTACACTGTTTAGGCAGAGCATCATCACGGTGACACTCCCACCAAATGCTACTGTGCAAATGGAGAAAAATCCCGGAAATATCAAGAACAATTTGGCTTCAAATTCAGGAGTCAGAGCCACGTTGTCCATACTATATACAGTGAATGATTGTGACCAAAAGATTAAAGATCAGGGAGACATGAGGCTGAAATGATTTCTCCATGAAGGGTGGCTGGGCTCAACCTCACAGGTGGGGTAAGGAGTATAGATATGTTGAGGAGGGGGCTGTGTGAAAGATTTTCCAATTTGTTATCCAACCTTTTCAATTAAACCTCAATTGAGCAATTACTTCACCACTAAATGCCACAGTGCCCTAGGTTTTATTTGTGGGGAACAAGATATTCACTAAGTGTTTTTAGCTTTCTTTAACCCCTCCTGTTGCAGTCTAATCCTTTCCTCTCTAAGCGCTGAGAATGAAAACAAGTGTCTGAGAGATTGAGGAGGGCAACATCTGTAGAGACTCTTCAGATGGGTATTGACCAAAGAGGAAAGAAGCTGATGGAATTTCATTGACCTACGGCAAACAGTACCATGTTACACAACCAGATCAATGTCTCCTCTGCCTCTTTTCTGCATCGGCCTCTCTCTGGGGGACTTTCAGTGTTCAAACATGTTCTCATTGGGAAAAAGAGAGAGAGAGAAGGGAGAGGGGCAGTGGAGCACCTGAAAACGTTGACAGATGTTTGAGAGATGTGTTTTAAGTGAGGTTCCTCTGGATTGTTGGTGAGTACGTTTGATCTGTGAGACTGAAGGATGGCTGAGCTGAGGTTTCAGCTGCTGTTGTAAAATTATTTCCCTGACTTCACAGAGAATGAAAGAAATAGAGATTCAGTGATGAGGAGGAATCTGCACAGATGCTGCGTATGCTCCTCTCGCTCCTCAAGACGTTTTGTATTCATGCAGCTTTCCTGCTGCCTTTACGTTCTGTGACCAAGGTCAGCGGTTGAAAATATCTGATTAAATCCCTCTGGTTGATTTGTGAGTGTGAATTTTAGAAGGACAAGCCTGTCAAGTTGAAATCTCTAACTTACAAAAGAAACAACAGAGATGATGCCACTGTTTCATGATATGACCGGTGCAGAAGCTGAGAGCCACAGACTTTGATGAGTCAGATGTACTTTTCTATTCTTATGTCCAATTTATTCTTACTTTATTTAAATCTTTGCTTATTTTTCACTTCTAGTTACACATTAAATTATGTAAATTGAATCACTGTGCCTTGTGGTAAGAGTAATCTTTCCTGCAACGAGTGCAGCTTTAATTAAATCTAACAAAGCAATGTTTTAATCGTACAATGATGGAAAGAAAAGTCAGCAGCATTAAGTTTTCCAGATGTGCACAGACGGAGTCAACAAGCTCAGCCACAGAAAAGCAAATGTAAGAATACAAGTGAGGTTGAAGACTCAACCCCACTTCTCATTTTCACCTCTACCCTACTTTGCCTCTTGGGATGAAGATCTAAAGGACAGTGGTGTAATCCTCATCCAATCAAATGGGTCATCCCCTCCAGACCCTGTTAGGTAATTAAATACTCATTGACAACATTACATAAACACACTACATGAATTGTATGGCAACTTCACTGCTCTACTTCAATACTTTAATCTTATTTCTGTTGCCATAAACCTTCAAGTACAGGGGATACTGAAGATTTCTCTCGGAAATTTGTCAATATGAAGGACTGTAATGTTTGGGTAGCGACTAAAGCATCAGAGTTTTCTATTTATCTCATGAAAAATTAGATAAAACACTGAAACGAAATTAAAAAAATGATCATACATGAGTTTCCGTAATTTTCTAATCTTATAAACGAAGTAAAAACACTTGTGACTTTCTTCTTGCTGATGATTTGCAAATCATCCAAGGCGAATCTTCATAACACTCAATTTTAAGTGAATTTTGGACAAATCTCTATAGCCCTGACACTTTGCCCCATACCACCATCTAAACAAGGATTTGGACACCACTAACCCTGGAAATGAACATTAGAGGCTTATGACTAACTGTTGGGGGCAAGGCTAGGATTGGGTTTTAATGGGGCGCTCACACCAAACCCGAGTGAAATCATCTACTCGCTTAATCCGTGCGGATCTAGATACGCGAATGAATAGTATTTACTCACTTCATTTGCGCGTCAACGGAAATTTCAACAGTAATCCCTGCCAATTCAACCAGCAGGATCAAATGATAGACAAAGGTATTTTTCAAATTATCAGGTAATCCAACCTTCTCACTCATTTGCCTCCAGGCAAGCTTCTTTTTATTCTGGTTTTGGTAATTGAAAGAAAAGGTATCATATAATTCAGGTCACAAGGCAACATTCCTGACGATTAGTTATCATGACACAAATATCCGCTCAAGCTGAGACATTTTCAGCTCACGCCCAATTCGCATCATTCATGCTGCCAGTAGTAGTGGGAGCGTCTTATCGCGTCTTTGCATTGACTTAACATGTCATTCATTTGCGCAAATGATTTTACTTACGCTTGGTGTGTGGAGACAATTAGTGTCTTAAGGTTTTCTTTAAAGGTCGGTGTCTCTATAAAGGTACGTGCGTGAAACCATGGAACCAATGCAGCCTCTTACGACCCAAGCATTTTAAGACATTTAATCAACAGAAAATAACATTTTTTGTCATGAAATTTAGAGGCAAAAACAATGTTTGCTTTTGACCTGACGTTGGGGTGACACTAATGTTAAAATCTCTTTCAACTTGTGAGCACACTGATCTTTGCTGTGAGTCAAGGCTGGCAGGAATTTGACTAATTTAGCAAGTACTGGTCAAGGGAAAAGCTTTTGTCAACAAATGAAGGAGTATTTGATCCAACTATTGCTGCATCATTGTGATATGAACTCAAAAAATTTATTGTGATTCACGCCTGAGTGTCTTTGTAAATTTTAAAGGTAAAAAATCCGATCAAAGCCGGATCCTTCTTAGAGTGTTGGACCAGCCAGCCAACATAGCCATCCCCAGTGCCACGTTGCTAGTGTAGCTAAAGAGCTCTGCAATACTGTGCAAGAACATCTGTTTCTTATGTGATTCCAGTAAGCTGCAGCTTTAAAATGTAGCCTTCAATATGTTCTGCTTAAACATAAGCAGATCACGACTGAATATTACCCTTTCAATCAAGTTTCATGTTTCAAGAGTCCTCAGAGTAGAAAAACCAACGAAAACATCAGAAAAATGAGTTCATAGCAGCCACCGCTAAAGAGAAACAAAAGCGTGAATTGCCACACAGACAGAGAAGGGACTTGAAATGGCCATGTTTCAATTAGTGAAAGGATTGCATTATCATTCTGCAGGTGAGGAGCAATATATCAGCCGAGCGGGTCATTGGATTTTCTAGACTCACGGGTGAGGGGATTTGGTCAATCATGAAACAACCAATTGATTTTCCTCTCTTTATTTGTAGAAGTTGGCAGCAGGCAGAGAGAAATCTCCCTCCCTGTGCACACTGATTGAATGTAATTTTGTCTCATGCACACTTACCACCTGTTTTCTATTTTCTCTGGTTGACATTTGGGAATACGAGATACATTTGTGAAATTTTTGAAAAGGAGAAAAACTGCAGTGCAGCACAAAGAAACAGTGTGGTTTTACTTGGAAGTGTGTGCTCCTTAAAAAGAGAGTGTGGAGTGTTGGAGTGTTATGGAGAGATTAGGAGGAGAAATATTTGAAGTGTTCTGAATGTCAAATCCAATCAAATCCAATCAAGCTCTTTATTTAAAACGACTTTTGTTTCAATGTCTCCAACCGTGTTTCTGGGATCTGCTTCTGAAATTCAAGCTTAACAACCAGATGTCAGCAAGTTTGGGGTTGGCACAGACTCAAAGAAAAGAAGGTTGTTTGAGAATGACCAAAAAACTCACATTGAAGCCTCTTTGTTGCTGAATAGCTTTAGGGCCTGTGCCCACATGTGGCGTTCTCCACGCTCCCAACCTCAGTCTCAGTGCTTCACACCCGCCCTTACTGTTGATCATTACGCTTACTTTAGATTCTTCTGAATACTTAAAATGAACTTTTTTGGATAAAGTTTTACAAAGGCAGTGTTAAATCAATGTGAAAATATCATGTCCTGGTGTTAGCTGTAGCTCGTACATGGAAATGGTACCCTCGAAAATATGAATGCTACGGGTTTGAACTCAACGTTGACAAAATGTAAATTAGAAATCCAGCCCCTCCTTGAATTTGATTGGCTGCTGAAAGAGAAGTGAGACTAATGAGTGCTGCGACTGAGAGCACAGAGAAAGCTTTTTAGGACGCTGAGTGCTAAAAAATAATTAACTACATTCCTTTTTTTTCCAGAAAACAGGTGCTGCCAGCACAAAAAAAAGCTCCTATGAGAGTTTTTTGACATTTATGAAATAGACTGAAATTCATATTGACGCCTATTAATGAGTTTACGGGTTTATATTAATACTATGTTCAAACAGACAAATGGAAATTCACCTTGCTTGAACTCAATTGTCAAAAATCAATCTTATTATGGCTTGTTAGTCCAGGCTCACACCAGTTGCATATGCATCATCCTCAACAACTCACTTGTGTTCAATTTTCCTGATATTTCCTGCTGCTTTCTCACATTGGCACACCCTGACTTCTCATGGAAACTTGACTGGGAACTGGCTGGAAAAAGCTGAGGCAAAATTTCCGACTGTTAGCGTTCACATGTGCACTCCATCTGACAAATTTAGGGGGGTTTTCTGTTTGCGTCGCGTTCCTTTGTTGTTGCTGTTCTGGATTGCATTGTAGTTCGCATAAATTTGTGGTTGTATCGTATTTCATGGTTGTTTTGGGAGCATTTTCTGTTTCTGTAGTCATCATGTGTAATTTTCTTGTTTTTTCGCTCTAGTTAATTGTTGCATGCGATCTTAACTGTGGTTTTGTTCATTTACACAGGGATCTTCTTCTTGCTGTGGTCTTTTTTGTGTCTCTTTGTGGTAATTTTGAGCCTTTAATTTTTGATACAACTTAAAGTTTTGATCTTTTTGGTTCTGATGGATTGATTTCAAATGAAAGACTTCGTCTACTTGTACATGTGCTTTAATACCAGGTCACCGCTGCACTCCTCGAACTGATAGGGGGACACCGGGGGTGGTCGGTGAGATTATAGTGTGCCTTCCTTTGAAATATTCTGCGGTTAACATCCCTTTGAAGAGGACCTGCAGTTTAATTAAAATGTCATTAATGCGTGTTTTGTTTTCCTGGAACAGGAGTGTATTCGGCAGCCTAGAACACACACCGGGGGACAGAGCCAACACATGGTTTCAATATGCACCAGCTCTACTTGTTTTAATCAAGAAAACACATGCACAAAAACTCTGCTCTGTTGTAATGTGATACTTGGGTGATCTTGAAAGTTGTTTGGTTTTGATTTGAACCATATGCCGCGCTTACACAGAGAGCAGTAGTTGCGTGCCTGAAAACTGAGTGTTTTTATGTATTCTAGGCAGGAGACGCATGTTATATTTTTGCACAAGCAGAGCAACGTTGCCATGTACCCTGAGCATTAAGAGCACAACAATGACATCATATTCAAACTTGACTGTTTCAAAACACACGTGCACCTAGTAACAGAGTTAAATCAGAGCTATTCTGGGGGGTTACACCATGGGGAGGATCTGGATCTGGAGCCTGATGTTTGAAAACCCTGCTCAATAGCAAAATCCATATGGTTCCACACTCCCTGTAGAAGGAACTAAACACATACATAATCCAGAGCATACACAGGGTTGCATGTGCACTTCCAGTCGTTGCACATAAGCACGCAAATTTACCCAAACCCATAGAAGTCCTGAACCTGGCATGCACACACACAGGTTTGCATACATACGCTCGCTCTCAGAGGGAGTGAGGGCTATCTGTGAGCACAGTCATGCTTCACCCATGCAGAGGTGTCTGTTAGCAGTGGGAGTTATCATTGGCCATGGAGGCTTGTGCGCCTGCCAGGAGCCCATGCCAGAAAATGAGTGATAACAGAGCCCAGCGATGACCAGCTCACACAGCAGCAGCACATGTAGACCCCGACTGGAATGAAGGAATGACGGAAATATGTGCGCATACATCATACGGCCCCGCTCGGACCCTCCCTCCTTTACCTTTACACTAATCAAATGCATGTTTACGTTCCATCAGCTCTGAGAGGGTAAACAGGATTGAGGAAAAAGTTCACTCAGAGGTAAAACCACATTTTTCCGATCCAGTATATTACGTACTACATGTTCAAATGCAGCAGCAAAATGAAAATGCGCACAGACATGATAAGCAGGAAGGTGAATTGATTGTCGGTGTGATTGCCAGAGAGCGAAACATAACTTTGAGTCATATGCTGTGGTATTTAAATCTAGCAATTCAATTTATTCAGTGCAATGCTGTCATTCACTCCCAAAATCACTTACTCTTTAGTGTGAAAGATCTCCAAATCCTTCACATTTTCATGACGGCTCAAGGATTCAATTTTTCCCCCCAGTTTTCTTTTTTTGATTTTACATTTGAATAGAAATACTGAAAAACCTGGTGAAGCATGTTCTTCCCTCTAATTTCTAAAGAGCAGCAGAATGGAACAAGGACGTGGGATTTCTCGGTAACTAATTCCAAACCTGCATCAATAAGAGGCCACGCCGACCTCAAATTTAATCCAAGAATAAAAACCCGAATATTAGAATATTTTTTTATTCAAGTCTTTTTTTGCATTCCACAGTTTCAGAAAATAAAATTTTAATAATTTCAGTCCAATCTATGTAAGAAAAAGTCATGATAGTTTAGTCGTTATTTTGGTCGCTTGACTAAGGCTGACTTAACCTCTGCATAGCCCCATAAACAAAGCATCAACACCAGCATTAAAGGGATATTCCAGCATAAAATTAATTTAGGGTCAAACACACTGTAACACCGAGTTAAACACCCCCCCGAGAGATGAATATTGCCGACCGTTTGCTTCTCTAGTTATACCAACTTTAGTAAAGACCGTACGATAGCAATACACAGCAGTCTGAGGAGCCAAACACAAACATCAAACAAAGCGCCACTCTATAGCCACAAATAATCCTCAGAACAGCACCTAACTTCATCAACAGTACATATCGGGTCCCACCCATAGTACTAGCCACCAAACACCTTTTTAGCTTTGCCTGATTTCTTTAGCAAAGACACTAAACACAACTCACCTACTCTCTTCCAGCAGCCACTTGCTTGTACTGAGACCTTGGGTGAGACCATCACGACTGCATTGGGGTGACACAGCTCAAGGAAGAACATTTATGACCATTACTTTATTATTTATGTAAGTGTGTTAGTTCAGAGCTATGATTTCTTTGGGTAAATCCAGGGTTTTAGATTTCACTACCTTAAATGATCATAAATGTCCTTCCTTGAGCTGCGTCACCCCGCTGCAGTCGTGACGGTCTCATCTGAGGTCCCCGTACAAGCAAGTGGCTGCTGGAAGAGAGTAGGTGAGTTGTGTTTAGTCTCTTTGCTGAAGAAATTAGGTAAAGCTAAAAGATGTTTGGTGGCTAGTGCTACGGCTGGGACCCTATATGTACTGTTGATGAAGTTAGCGGTTTGAGGAGCTATAAACAAACCGCAACCAAAACGCCACTCTATAGACACAAATAAAGCTCAGAACAGCACCTGTGTATTGCTATCTGTGGTGGTTACTAAAGGTGGTATTTAGAGTAGCAAGTGGTCGGAAACATTCATCTCTCGAGGGGGTGTCTGACTCGGTGTTATGGTGTGTTTGACCCTAACTTATTTTTACGCTGGAATATATTTTAATTGGGAGTCAAATAACTGGACACTTTGGTCCAGAGAGATACTTGTTTAACGGTGCTGCTGCCTTTTGTAGAGCCTGCAGTTTATGTTAAGTGTTACCCTGAGACTCTAGTTTAGTGTTGAAATGGTGCTGAACAGATGGGTGACCATTTTCAGGAACATTATTCAAAAGGTCTTCAGGTGTTAGCACCTAACCATCTAACAACATCCAGCTTAAACATGGTCAGTCTACCTTTTAATGTTAAATTAAAAGGACAGAAACCTGCGCACTTCGATTTAGTGATGGATTATTGGATTAAATGTCTGTGTTGTGGTTACCAAGGCTGGAGAAAAGACTTGCAGGTTTCTAAGAATCTTTTTCCATTTACCTGGATTCAAGGTTAGCAGTGTCATCAAGATGCAGCGTTATCTCAGGTTGGAGTGCACGTCGATACTGAATAAATGCAGAGCAAAGCGCCCATTATGTTCTGTCTCTTATCTTTATATAAATGTGGATGACACCTGGAGAGTCAGTCACTTTGTCGAAAAGGTTCTGCCATAAATCACACAAGATGCTCCTTACAGACTCCTTTCAGGCAAATTCAGAGGGATGATTCCTACAGATAAATATAGATATGGTGAATGTCTAACACTTTCTTTATCTGCTTCTTTTCTGCCTGCAAATGAAGATTTGCTAATAAGAGCCTCGGTTTAGACTCATTTGGTTTTCATGAAAATAATTTCACTCTGATCTCTGGAAATCGATGAGGGTCTGTCAGCAAAATGGCAAAGCTCATCCAGCTATCTGGATGAAAATGTATGTCTGGACATGACATTTCATCCCTCTTTTCATGCCAAACACAAGCAAATGATTTATACTTTTAACAAGGATTGAAGAGAAATATAAATACAAATATTTCTGGAGCAATACTTGGTTTAGAAGTGTATCTACTTATACAAATATCCCCTTAAATAACGCCTCCAGTCCAGAACCACTGAATCTCACAACACTACCCTCTCCATTTGCTCTTTCAGAGGAAGAGGAACATGTTTTTGTACTCGTACAAAATCCTTCATTAAGATTTCAGGAGGACTAGATCTTAATACACGTCTTAATGGTAAGCATTATTCATCACAACACCGGTGTGAACCTGGAACAGCGACACTTAGCAGAATGAAGAAAACATCAGCCCATAGTGAGACCGCCTTAAACTGATTTCTTCACCCTGTGGACATCGCAGTCTTTTCTAAATTTATCATCTACAGATCGAAGTGGTGTCCTCTGACTAACATTTCTTCCTACTGACTTTTGATCATTACTTATTAATATTTTGCTACTCGGCTGACACCTAGCCTCTCAACACAGTTTCAAAACGTACCTTTTTAGTTTTGCTTTTAACTAAATTTTATATCACTAATTTTGTTTTAGTGTTTTAGCATTTATCTCCTCTGGTTTTAATGACAGGATCATCTTTTATTGAGCTATGTTGGTGCTCTTATTTTAGTATCTTTTACTGTTGTTTTTATTTCATTTTATTTATTATTTCTTAAAATTTCATTCTGTGTTACTTTGTTTTTAGATTTTAACCTGAACCTCTTAAAGTTTTAAAATAACTTTTCCTCATTGCGCACATTCCTGTTTCCACGGAATCAAGTCCTATTTAAGTTTACGCATTTTAATACTGTTTCTGTTGCATTTAGATCATTAGGGTGGAAATGAGGGGATGGGCTGGGGTAGATTTGGGTATTCTTTGTTTCTTTTATTCCTTTTTCTGTGTAAAGCACTTTGTCCTACATGACTGTGTATGAAAAGTGCTATATAAATAAAGACTGATTGATTTATTAAAAACTACAGGATAAAAGTTGTAAATCTTGTCACTGATGGTCTTGTTTGCTTTTGGATATCACGAAAAAGCAACAAAAAGAATCTCAGTTTGTTTGTTTTATTTAAGTTATATTGTTACATTTTACTTATTTGTAGAGTGTGGGTACTTTGTATACTCTACATGGCTTGTTTTTCTTAAGTGGAGGTGTTTTTTTAAGGTTTAATGGCTGTTGTGATTGTAAATCTCTGAAAATTCTCAACAAATATGAACCTTAAAATAATTTATGTTCTTAATCCCTACATCAATTTGGGTTTTGATAATTTTTGACAATCTGGAAAAACCTGAAAAAACAAGATTTTAAGATATCAAGTGCCAGTAACAGTCTCAAGGAAATTCAGTCGCTAAAGGAATGACATGAACTCAGGCTGGCCTAACAAATAGTGTATTTTGTGTGTGTGTGTGTGTGTGTGTGTGTGTGCAGGCTTCTTACGTCTGTGTTTAAATGGAAACAAAAAAAGAGAGAGAGGGTGGGTGCTTGTGTTATTTCTGCCGGGCTTCACACATTGAGCGGACAAACAATCTATTCCAATTAAAGCGAGCTGCAGCCCTGGTGACTGCAGAAGAGGGCTGTGCTCCATCGGATCACATCATCCTTTGAAAAACCTCCAGATTGGCTGACTGGGATTTGAAGGAAAACGGGGCTCTTCAGGAATGACCAGAGCTGGTTGGCAGCGAGGGTAGAGAGAGAGAGAGAGTTAGTGAGAAAAGGGAGAGGGGTGGGGGTGTCAGACTGGCTCCAAGTTTATCCAAAAAGTTCCAGAGAAACAGCTGAGGTGGAGGGGGAGGGGGGGAGGAGGCGCCGGGAGGAGGGCAAGGCCATTAATCCTGGTTGTAGCCCTGGTTTAGCGCTCAGACTGCATGTGGGGCGAGGAGGCAAATTAATTATGTGGCTGAGATTAATTAGGTGATGTTAAGGGAAATCTGTGACTGTAAAACTTTAGAGGGCTGCATATCTGACTAGACTAATGGGGCGTTCATGAACTCTTAATAGATGCTCCTCTGATGGTGAGTAAGCTGAGCAGAGAGAGAGAGAGAGAGAGAGAGAGAGAGGAGTCAGGATGTGTCCTTGCTGAAAGTTTTTCGGTAGAGCGGAGTCAGGAAGGATCTTTATCTCTGTTCACCTGAAGTAACTTTAGCGTGAGTCTCATAATTAGTGATGCACAATATGGATTTTTTAAGCTGGCACTGATAACCGATAATAACCTGCTCCTGGCTGATACTGATAATACGACTGATACCTTTTGCTTTCCCATCTTTCCATTTTAAAATGTGCAGATCGTGCACACCTCCAGGTAAGAAAGGCTACAATTTAGTGAGTAAAGATACATATGTATGAGTTCATCACTTAAAAGTTTGAATCACTATTTTTAACGCAAAGATAACTCCAGCTGTGGATAGTGCTGCTTTTGAATCCTCAACACACAGTATATTTACACCTTGTTCAAAAATATCAATTGATCCCTTTAGTCTGACTGAAACTGGACTTGAAAAAACATTTACACACGTAAGTCCAACTGAAAATTCACAGAATCAAACTTCTCACACAGTCATGGGTTCATTGAAGTTCAGGTCTGTATAAGCTGGGTGGTAAACCAAACCTCAACTGGTGAGGAAATGATGTACAAACAGACACAACCGCCCTGTCATACGAACAAAAGGTACAGAGCTGTAAAAGTGCTGTGTTCTCATGGTTTGACATATATCCCGTTAGCCTCTTGCTAACACAATATGCTGATTGTTTTGATATTTTACAGGTCAACTGGGAGACGACCAAATCGTGACAAACTGAAAGAGTGCATGTCGCCACCCAACCACTGTAGAGGGAGACATGCTTGTAAACTGGGACAAGGACAGTAGTCCAGTTAAAGGTGGAGGAGGCAGGAATCCGTTAAAGAAGCATCTTTTTTGTGGTGTATATACAAAAAAGCTTTTAATATCAGTCAATAGCTATTAGTTATTGATGACAGTTGGTAATATAACGATATACAAAAAAATTTCCCCCATGGGGGATCAATAAAGGACTATTCTATTCTATTCTATTCTATATTGCTGTGTTTTGTTATGTCTGTGTAGTCAATATTTTACATTTTTTGAGCGCTCCACTCTTTATGACTGTAAAGCCGTTCTCCGCCTCCCCCAACCTTGATTGGTTGTGAGGCAGACGCTGCTCCCCGTTTACGAGCCCAAACAAAGTTAGCATGCTACAATATTGGACAGTAGAAACCAACCAGAAAGTTCGGACAATTGTCTGAATCCTCCTTTGGCCACGACTGCCAACACAAACAAGAAAACAAACTTAATACCGAAGACTCTGGTGGAATACCGGGAGCTTAAAATGGAGGTAGACCGGACAAGGGCTAAAAAGTCGGGTAAACATCAGCATAAAACGATCGGGACGCTTTGGGATCTTAGTGACCCTGTAACCTTTCTGCTGGACAGGTAAACCGCTTTAACAAAGTAAGCCAAGTGTCTGTAACAGACATGTTTCTTGTCAAATGCGACCTGCTGCGTGTTGTAGCACCACTAAACTGTTTACCTCGGGTCCTGGACTATGTCTCTTTATCCTAGTTGTAGAAGTCCTACAAACATTGTGTTCGCTGGTAGACTGTTGGCATCTGTAGTAGCTCCAATGCTTTTTACTTTCACGTTGACTGGGCCCCATTTGTAATTATCTGAAGTATTTATCTGCATTATATCTGAATTTAATTGAAACAATAGGAGCGAGCAGGAGCGTCTGTTTGTGGGCGGGGCTTGCTGGAGCAGAGAGGGAGGGGAGAGGAGGAGCTGAGGGGAAAACTGGTTGGGAGGGGTAGCGTTTACATTCAAGATTTCTCCCAAAAACTGGCACTTCCTCAGATCCTGCCTACCCCACCTTTAGATGACCATAGCTTGACTTTACTGTGCATGTACATGTACTGACTGTTGTTGCAATGGCGACTTCTCAGGTGATATAATAGAACCGTTGTGTGAAAAACCGAGGACTTTTATCCTCCGTTTTATCTCACTTTTTTCTCACAGTAATCGAGGTGAAATGAAAGCGACTTTCATTCGTAAAACTGTGTTATCAAAATGGGAAATAGTATTTCAATATTCCCAGTATCTGTCAGTCATTTCCATGATTTCAAATCTATGTTTTCTCCTCCCCATTGATTGTATGTCACTGTGTCTTTGTAATGACAACGGATCTAATCAAACGAAAGCAACGGATCAATACAGAAAGTAAAGTGAAGAACTGATTGTGAGGCATCGACAGAGAAAATCCGTGAACAGTTTCTCTCAACTCTACGTTATTTCCCACTTGTTTTTGGTTTTATTTTCACTTAACTGTTTGCCCTCCTCTTATCAGTGTTGTTTCAGGTAGCAGCAGGAAAGTTTTCAATTAAATAAAAAACACACATGACAAATAAACGAATGAACGAATACACACTTCCAGTTATCAGTATTAATCAGACTATCACTGATATAAAAGTACAATAACATAATAACATAATAATACAATAACAGAAGCAGAAATGATTCTTCAGTGAAAGCAAGAAAAAGTCTTTTGTTTAAATGGAAACAGAAGCACAAAAAAGGGATCGCACTTATAAATCCTTAACATTTAAACCTTGAAAAGTTTATAAAACTGCTGAGTAAAACTTCCTTTTGGACAGGTGTAAACTCATGGCACAAACAGACTGGACAGATATCTACCTGAGGTGGTTTGGCAGAGGTCCAGGTCTTATCTGCCTTGTCTTTTGCGTCACAGAAACCTGATATTATCTTGCAAATTGCCATGCTTGTGAGATAAAGTACAGAACGTGCAAATAGTGGTGCAGCTTTATTCTAAAATTCCCACAGTTTCTCTTGAGATTGGCGTGAAAAAAAGATAAAAAAGACCCTGCAGTTGAGACTTTTCAGTCTTGGTAAACCCCCTCTGGGTGAATTTGAAATAGTTGGACTGAGTTTTGGATTAGCAATAGGAACAAATCTGTCACTCAATCTAAACTCTCATGATAGTATTTGTGACTGTTACCCTCATGAACACAACATGCCTCTATTCTTCCAACATGAAACTATCTTAAATCAAAACCACATGCTGACAGCTTATTTTGGTGTCACAATAAAGGCACAGGAAGCCTTTGTGGAGCAGAATGAAGTTATTTTATAGCTCAGTAGTTGGGTCCAAAGGTTTGAAACCCAGAGGTTATGTCTCCTTTGAAAGGTCAGGAGATAAATGTGGAAGGGAAACGGGAACAGAGACTTCTTCAGCACAAATGCATGATCATACTTTTGATTCGACTCATATTTTTTGGCCTTTTATTATGAATATTGTAATCTTTTCCCTTTTTGGGCTCCTAAGAGTTTGCTAAATGAAACCGTCTGAGGGTTCTGGACGGGAAATGTGTCTCTAATGGAAACAGAAACAGGGAATTATGAAAAGAGGCCTCTATTTCCTGCCGACTTTTTTAAGTACTGTTAACAGAGAAGTGGAATGAGGAACAAACTGAAAAATAAATTACACTCTGAAGTACAAAAACTCTATATGAAAACATGTCACTTTGCACCACTTAATGTGCGAGTTGTTAAGTAAAAAACAGGTTTACTCAGAAATCTCATCAGCCTTTTTTTTTTTTTTTTGCGACTGCTTCAAAGGTGACATTAACTTTACCTGCTGCATCTGAGCTTTCACGAGAAGCAAATAGCATTCCTTCTTGCTCTTACAGATGTTCCTCTAGACGTACTCACATATGGAGACCTGACACGTTTGAAGAGCAGCTCCAAAAGCCGCTCAAGCCTGCTCTGTGTTATCACCACACACGGCAAATGACGCCAACAGCTGTCTGGTAATCTTACAGCGAAGATCAGCCTCCACATACTCTTTCACTTCACTCCTTAATTCCACCCTCCATGTGTCTGGAGACCAAACCTGTTCTGCTGATAGCCGATGATAGTCTTACTCAACGCTATCACTCAGAAAAACACATGTAAACTGCAGGCGCATCAGGGAATTAAAATCCCTGCTCTCTGCGGGAGAAAAACTAAGGGGTAGAGTGAGAAAAAAATACTGCTTTGGTGTGCATTTAAGGGGCAATAAGGTTACCATCCTGTCTACAGAGTCCCAGTAAGCCCCAGAGTAAATCTAGGCCACATTCAAATATGAAACAGCTACTGTAGGATTTTTTTTTTTTTTTTTTTGCAGATTAATGTCTTTGAGACGGTGCTGCTGATGTTTTTCAAAGTAGCAATAAGATTTGAATAAATAATCCCTCGCCTCTCTACAAAACTAAGAAGATCGCACCCTTGGGCATAAACAACTTCTTCTTTTGATTTTTTGTTGCTCAAACTTGTGCCTGAATATTTAGTGTACCTTTTTGCCCAACCTCAATTCTCATAACAAATATTTGAGAGTGATTTTGACTACAAATGTGAGTAAAATGAGATGGCTGTGATATTTGAAGAAGGTTTTAATCTTAGGGGAGAAAGAGACACTGCAAAGAGAAGATGTGTCAGCAGAACTTTCTGCATTAAAACCACAACACACTTTGGTTTACATTTGCTTATGCAGCGAGAGGGTGACCAAACAGGAAATTCTTGATAGTCAAGGCGCATGTGAAAGATGGCAAACAGTCCCCCTGTTTGCCAGTGTCAATGCACCAATAGAAAAAGCGTCACACGTGAATAAAAAAGCCCAAGCCTGTTAAAACAGACTGAATATCATGACTTAAATTATCTGCTTTGCTTGTTAAGATCTGAAGATAAACCTGCAAAGCAGTCAGATCCATAAGGGGTGAGAGAAAATAGATAAAACAAGTTAAATAAAACATCAGACATGCTAAAAATAAAATACATCTTTATTATGGTATTAATTCTTCACTTTTTATAAAATCTATTTACAGTACACTGTAATGTTCAGCAAGTTTAAGATGTGCACAGAGCATTTATATAACTGACTCCGTTAAGAGAGTCACAAGAAAAGAACAATATACCGTCAGCTTGTGCCTGAAAGTGACTGAAAAAATCATAGCAGCAGGTAAAAGGTCCTTCAGAGCTCTAAATGCATTTCCACATTAATAATGTCATAATATATGAGGTGATACACGAAGGCATGACAGCGCTCAACTGCCTGGTATTCATCTTTATGTAACACAATAACTGGCTCAGTCTGAATGTCATTGTTAATGTCCTGATATGTCGTCAGCTTTGATCAGACGAGCTGTGAGCGTTTCTAACAGTCCAGGAAAGACCAAAGGATGCATGTTTGACAAAGAAAAGACAAAAACAAGAGCATGTCATGAGCTGCAGTCTGCCCTGATATTTAGCTCTGTCACTCTCCTGTAACAAAAGTAGTAGTACAAAAATAGATTTAGTTTAATTTTACATTAGCTTTTTTTTTTCTTATCTACAATGTTAGTGAGGAGAACAGAACACCTGGTGGAGATAGTCCCTCAAATTACAGAGGAGGAGGAGGGAAAACGGTTAATTCCAGTTGAATGTTCGACCCACCAGCTCAAAGAACTTCTTGTTAGGTTGGTGAAAGAACTGGTAAAGTTTTTGCAGGATGGCGGGCGCCACGTGAGGGTGAGCCCTGCCTTTTGAATCATGTAAACACCGCTCCCTCCCGTGGTCCCTCAAACAGTAGAATCCTTTAGTTTTATTGAAGTAAAAGTTTGAAGCGTTTATCTGGGGCTCCAGCTTTAAGAACCTCTCCACCTTTTTCACCTCAGGGAAAGGGTCCCTGATGAGCTCGTCCCCGTCCACCACGTGAATGCTCCCAAGTGGGAAGTATTTCAGCCAGTTCTGCATGTGAATGTAATACAGGCTACGATTGAGCGCCTTGTATCCCAGGTTGATCTCTCCATCCTTCACCAGAACTGACTCAATGGGCTGGTAGCGTTTGTGCTTCTGGAGGCGGTTGTAAAAGACCTGCGTGTAGTCCGACAACACTCGCTCCGTGGGGTCTCTGAGGATGAGCAGCAGCTTGATGTCAGGGTTCATTTGATGGATGCGTTTCGGGACTTTGCTGGAGGTGAAGTAGGCAGGCGTTTTCTCCACTGTCAGCTGATCGGGGAAGGAGAAAGGCATCTGGCTGAGGTACCATGGCAAACCTTTCTGGAAGTGACTCTCCCAGTCGAAGAAGTGTACCTCATTCTGTGCCGCTGCTACGGCGCTGTGCAGGCTGAGCATCTCTATCAGCGCCCGTGTCCCCCCTTTCCTCACGCCTATAATTATAATGTGAGGAAGCTGTCTGAGGGTCCCATTAGGGTGGCTGGTGGTGCCGTTGTCTGCAGGCGATAAGGTGGCAGGCGGCCCCTCTTCAGCCACTACAGGCCTTGAGGGGATGGGGGGTGACTGCATTGCAAAAAGCAGCAGCCCGAGGAGCAAGGCCGCCATGAGGGAGGTCCTGACCCTGGAGGATTTCAGCCTGGCGAGAGCACCAAAACTGTATCCCACATTGAAAGAGCAGCCGCCTGAGGACGAGGATCCAAGTAGGGAAAAAGGAAAAGAAACTATAACCTCTTCTCTGGCAGGAGCGGGGACTACAAGGGGAGAAAAACAGCTGGGATTAGAAGATACCAGGTCAGAACAAAACACCTTTGAGAAGACGAGCAGGAGGAGACCACATTGCACGTATGAGCAACACGCTCGATCATCACAGTGCTATGACTCAGGTGGAGCAATGACATGGCATCATTTATGACTACTGAGGAGTATAAACTTAATAACAGTGATATCAATGCGGTTACAAGTACTCATGTTTAAACAGGTGTTGTATTATCAGCATTGTATTTTTCAATGTTACTCTGCTCTCAATAAATGTAGATAAGCTCAGTTTCTGATATCTAAATACATGCTACCTTGCTGTTAAGATTTGCACTCTGAATACATGCTGAAGAGGAAATCTGAGATAAACTAAACTCAAGCACACAAAAACACACCTTTAAGATTGCAAAAGATATCTCTAATATTCCAATTGAAAAAAAGAACAAATCCTCAGAAAAGATGTGCCTTTATTAGTGCCCAAACATTTAGAGGAGATGGTTTCAACCGGTTTAAGTCTTTGTTTGAAACCAAAACAAAAAAATGAACCGTCATGTAACACAGTAAATATCAACCTCAGTGAACACACGCTGAAGAGGAAAAGTCTGAGCTCGCAGGTATTTAAACATAGCAGAAAAATAAGCAGGTGTGAAAGCTAAACGCCTCAAACTGAAGCTACAAATTACACCGTTGGGGTAAATAATTCGCATGTTCCGCGCGTGCTGTCATGTGCTCTTTCCCAGTCTGTGTTTACTTTGTCTCGCGCGCTCCCTCGCCCACACATTTGACCAAAAAAAAGACCCCTTCAAAGAGGTGAAGAAGCTCCCTTACCTCTGTCACTATAACCCTCCACTCGCTGCAGATTTCATCTCGTGTTTTTGTCGAAGTCTCACTTCGCTTCCAAATCCTCCGCTGAGTGATCCAGGTCCGCTCGGTGGTCGCGCGGTTCATCCACGCGCGTTATGAGCTCGCCGCCGTACAGGAGTACAACTTCTCCAGAGCGCCTCCTCTCTAGTGTGCTTCCGACGGCGGACGGTCCTCCCGGTTTTTCAGTGTCAGCTACGCCTACATTACGCCTTCAGGACCACTCCCCCTCTCCTTTAACCACTCCCTCCCTCTCTCCACTGTGACTCACGTTGTTGGAGCGTTAAGGTATTCAGCAATGATAAAGAATGATAAAGCTGCTGGTATTGTGAGTGCTATTAGGAAGAGACAGGTGGCAGGTGATCCAGGCGACACTTTGCAGCAGTCATTTGTGTTTAAATACATTGCTTTATCAGTTTTATACATTTCCTGTCATTTTAATCTTGACATTTTTGTCTGTTAACCTTGTTTTCCTTTGATGAACCAGTTTGGTAGCTCATGTTATTTTAAATGTGCCATAAAAATAATGACTGGTAGAAAGAAAAAAGAAAAGTGGGGGGAAACGTTAATTCTCTGATAAGGTTATGTGCAAACAAGCCAAAAAAATGGTCAAACCGTCCAGCTTATTTTTTTCCTTAATCATAGCTGTCTACGACAAAGTATGAGGGCCACATTTAGAAAAAAAAGAAAATTATTTTTGTAAGTAATGACTTTTATCTCAAAGTCATAAAGTCGCAGTAAAATAATTACTTACGAGAATAAAGTCCCAGTAAAATCATTTCTTACGAGAATAAAGTCGTAAGAAAATCCTAACGAGAATAAAGTCGTAAAAAAATCATTATTTGCAAGACTAAAGTCAAAATACAATCATCAATAATGAGAATGAAGTCGTAATAAAATCCTTACGGGGATAAAGTCGAGGTACAATCATTAATAATGTCCTTACGAGAATAAAATCACAATAAAATCATTACTTACGAGAATAAAGTCGTAATAAAATCATTACTTATGAGAATAAAGTCACAATAAAATCATTACTTACGAGAATAAAGTCGTAATAAAATCATTACTTATGAGAATAAAGTCGTAATAAAATCATTACTTATGAGAATAAAGTCATAATTAAATAATTACCTACATAAATACTTTATTACGCTTTTAGTCTCGTTAGTAATGATTTAATTACAACTTTATTCTCGTAATTAAGAAGTCATTCATTTTTTTTTCTTAATGTGGCCTTTATACTCCATCGTACTGTTTTTTTTTTTTTTTTTTGAATCCCTAACCACTCAAATCAAACAGTCTCACTTGCTAAATGTGTGGCTCACAGAGAGCCGCACTTTCTTCAGATTTGGATTGAAAAAAACAAAAGTCTCCTCAGTGGAGCCTCTAGGAGTCCTCCCTTTACTTGTCGCTTTCAGGGGCAATCGATGAAAAAGACAGAGCAGTTATTCATCCCTGGCATTCTTCCCCGCCTTCGTCCACAGACCAAGTGCATCTGTGGGTAGTCGCCTAGTCCAAGATGCTCAATCTCACCACCTGTTGAGCAGCATGGCTTTTTTCTTTACATTGGAAACGTTTAAATCCTTTCTCAAACATCTGAGCTCTAGTGAGTTAAAGAAAAAAAAAACTCATGTAAAAAGCAGATTGAAGCGATGCAGAATCTAAAGCTGTGTGTCACCATCCAACTCTGAGTCACCTTTGGTTGTACAGTCAGCGTGAGAAAGTTTTTAGTGTCCAAACAGAGCTGGTGAGTAAGTGACACATCAGTAAAGTCAAATACTTTTGCGTCACCAAAGGGAGAAAACGGAGAGATATTTGAGCTCAAGACAAAAATATGATGAGAGGAAAAATGTAAGCGTAACAACAGGGATAGAGAGTAACATGAGTCACTGTGCCTCATATTAAAACCCTTTTCTTGCTAGTCTTTGTGTAGGCTACCTTATATCTATCAAGTCATTTTGCCCATAGATGGGTGCTCAAAGATTGATTGTTCTCAATTTAATGACAGTAAAAGCTACAAATTTGACTTGTTTCTCAATTACATTCTGAAATTTTAATGAAATTAATCTGCAAAATTGTCCTGAATCACTTTGACTGGCTTGACCAAGTCTCCATGATGAGTTCTGGTATATATTTTTTATAATTAGTTATTCTGTTCACAATTAGACACACAGAGTAGTACAGCCCATTTCCCATGCTGATACTCAGCCTAAAGCGTGCGTGGCTTAAGGGGCTTTGCAGCTGAATATGGATGTATCTGATTTTACCCATGTTTGCGAATTTTTGTGCTGCGTATGGTTATTTAAGTGAAGGCCATTACACACATTAAAGCAAAGCTCTACGTTGACAAGCAAAGGGGGATGTGGTGCAACATAAAAGGTCAACCCGCTTCTTAAGTACATCCTTTCCTGTAGGGAGAATGCAAACGCATGTGCTTTACTTATTCAGCGAGTGAATTATAACTGCTGATATGGCCGAGAGTTCCTCCACATTGATTTTTCAGATGCAGTTTAGTAATCCTCAGATTCTGCCCTCGTGTCTCATGCAGAAGTGTGAATTCAGCGGAGCTGTACAATGAAATCCCGCTTTGAGGATCATCGGAAGCGTCCGACCACATTAACATGACAAAAGTGCATATTCAGAGTCTGTAAATACCCTCAGTACCACCTCAGTGCCTCCCCCCACCCACCCTAGCTCTATGAAATAACAATAACAAGAACTTCTCTGTGCTGCATATTTTTAAGTGCTAAAAAACTTATCAACTGCTTCTTCTAGTAAACAGATTTAATGAGGCTACAGATAAATTAAGTGTTGCGTTTCACCCAAACAAGTTCCTCTCACTTGTGATGTAAGTCAGACAAATCTTGCAGGGTTGCTACATGATCAGCATGCCTGAAAATATTTTCTTTAGCACTTGTGCCAACAGTGTGTGTGGCATTAAAAACATTTTTATTTTTTTAAATCAGATTCTGGCAGGCTCACCAGATTCCAAATGGGTACACAGACTGTTATGGGTAAATATATTATGTGTGTGTCACGGCTCACAGTCCAATCTGTCTGATAAAAGCTGTGTTTTAACTACTCATGCAATAAAATATTTAAAGCTGCTGCTGCTGCTGTCATATGTTTTTGCAGAAGGTACTTTAAACACCTTCAACACTGTTTGCAATAGACGATGGAATTCAACACACACCTACACCCACATTCGGGCTAAATTGATAGCTGTTAAAGACATCACTTAACAGAACTGGAAACTTTTATGTATCACAGTTTCTGTTTAGAGAAGTATAAGAGATTATTTTTCCTGTGGATTATTCAGATTCCTTCAGGCGCTTCAGATATTGCAACATTTGGTTGTTTTTAATTTCATAGCATTGTGTTTCATCCATATAAATTCCACCTTATTAGTTTTTCCGATACAATGCATAAATACACCCTCAGGCTTTTGGCGCTAACACTGTTTGGCTTTTTATTCCCTGTATGAATATTCCTCAGTCTGAGAGGAGAATTACACAGATGCTTTTCTGCTGTGAAGTGAAATTATATTCTATATTAGAGTTCTGCGTGGATCTTGAACACCTGAAGAAGAACAGCAGTAGCAGTTCAGCGGCTATTATTCTCCGTCTGTCTAATTCTGAGGTTTAATTATATGCACTGTGAATCATCACCCGCCGAACACCCACCCGTGGCACGCTGCAGGTCATCGAGCTCTCTCTATAGCTTCAGCGATTTAATCAAACACTGTACTCTGTTCAAGTGGGTTCACAATAAGGATCATTACTGTAATTATTCATGCTGGTAATACACAGTGACAGCAAATGACAAATAATAATAAGACAGAATGCTGAAGCTGATGACATATTTCATCAAGGCTACATTCAGAAACATCTCCAAAATCGAGCCACAACTTAATCAAAATCTCTTTGTCGTAAACATCCTCGAATAGATTCTGCTTTGTTCTGCATGGTTTAAGTTGCATCAGAATTATTTTTGGAAAGAAAGTTTTTCTTTCGTTTGACAAAAGTTGGCAGGCAGGTGGAGCTCATTTCCATACCCAGGTGCAGCTTCTAACTTTGGCTTTTTTCCCAAAAACTGTAGCTGTGTCCATGATCTGAAAGGAGCATAATGGAAGTAGAACACTGCAAAATAAAAGACGGTACTTTACTCTTTTTAGACGGTGAGGACAAAAAGGATATTTTCAGCGGTTTATATCCAATAACTTACTACAAAAAGTTTGTAAGGTATAAGGAAATTTCTGCACCAGACAGACAATTATATTATTGAGCTGAGCTCTAACATATATAAAAATATGTCAATCCTCAATTTCAAGAATTACATTGTTGTATTTAGAGTAGGGTGTGAAGTGATATCACATGAGACTGATAACTGCTATGCATTGACAGTAAAAATTAAAAAGTTTGAGTCAAACTTGTTAGTTTGTGATAAAACTAACATGTTCAACATCCTGTGCATAAATTACAAGCTAACCAGTTACACTTTATGTGACTGTCAATGAGGCAGTGCTGAAGGAGAGTCAAAGTGGTGCAAGAAAACATATACAGATAAAAGAGTACATATCATAATTAATTAATTTTATTGGCCACATATAGATAAAAGGCCAGTACAGATAAATGACCCAATGCTGAATATCAGCAACTAACTAATCTATCCCTACTCTAAGGTTTCTGTGTTTCACTTGGCCCCCTTTCTTCAAAAGACGCACAAAAACAGCTGATATGTTGGAGGAAAAACAAGGTGAATTTGCCAAAAAAACATCTGTAATTTTGGATGTTTAACACGAAGGACGACTACCATGATAACTATGGCATTACACCAATATGGCAATGATGCTGCTGTATATAAATCAGTCCAGTGCAGCAGAGAAGAAAGCGCTGTCAAAACGGCAAAGGAAAGAGAAGAACAAAGTTTCCTGCAGAGAGCATCTTGCTGTAATTCTAATGGCGGGGACATCCCTACTGACATTTAGATAAAAACGCTCGAGGGGAGTGTTCATATGAGACAGCTGTCACCATTGGTTTTTGTTAACAGACTCCAGACTGCAGTTCATTTCATCTGCTGATAGACCTCACGGAGAAACATCACACTATGTGATCGAATGTTCTGTTTTCATTTCACGTCTGCACTTCTGTCCATGTTCACACTCACTTCATCTGTCTGTCATGTCT